GCACAGGATATGAACAGACACTTCACCAAAGAAGACATTCAGATGGCTAACAAGCACATGAAGAAATGTTCAAAATCCCTAGCTTTAAGAGAGATGCAAATCAAAACAGCTATGAGGTATCATCTCACCCCAGGAAGAACAGCAAAATTTAACAGAACAGCAAGCAACAAATGCTGATGAGACTGTGGAGAAACTGGAACCCTTATTCACCGTTGGTGGGAGTGTAAAATGGTGTAACCACTGTGGAAGGCAGTATGGCGCTTTCTCAAAAAGTTGTAAATAGAGATACCATTTGACCCAGCCATTCCACTACTGGGAATATACCTCAAAGAGACCATAACTGCCACCCAAGCAGATATATGCACACCCATGTTTATTGCAGCTTTGTTCACACTAGCAAGGAGTTGTAAACAACTCAAATGCCCATCAACAAACAAATGCATAGAGAAGCTGTGGTATATTCACACAATGGAATACTAAGCTGCATTGAAAAACAAGGAACTCCTGCAGTATTATTCAAAATACGTGACCCCGGAGGACATTATGCTGAGTGAAGTATCTCGGTCACAAAAGGACAAATACTGCATGGTGCCACTGTTGTAAAACAGGACTGACATCAGGATTGCGGGGGAGACTGAGAAAGATGCATTAAATAATGTATACTGCATTGAAACAGATGAGGGAGAGAACTGTTTAAAAGGGATATGTGATCAGGTATTTTTGTCATGACAGGAGTCCAGAGCGAAGGCTGCATAGTGGAGTGGACCTGGGAGGAGGGTTTGTAAAACAATGAAAGAATTTTTCTTTTATTTTTCCAAGAGTGTAGCGTACTGGGGGGGGGAGGGTTGGGAGGGGAGAAAAGTGCAAAAATGAATGAATGCAAACCCAAAGTCTATAAATTTTCATTGAAATTAATAATACATTTTAAAAAAACATTGCATTGCATTGCATTGCATTCTAACAGTCCGTCACCCTGCGCACATTTCCGTGTGTTGCCTGTCACCTCCAAATCGCCCCCATTATTTCCAGTTTAAATGATGTTGAACCTGGACCTTTGAAACAGTGATACCAGCAGCCTCAATGTTAAGCTTTGCCAGCAGAGGGCGGTAGAGGAACACAGCAGGACGATGGTTCTCACTTGCTCTTTTTTTTTACATCTTTTTCTTTTTTGGTGAAAACACACAGTAGTAGAAGACAAACACAATCAACAATTTCTACATGTTCACTTCAGTGGTATTGGTTGCATTCTTCATAGATCACCAGTTCTCGATATTTAAGATCATATTCCTTTTTTTTTTAGGTCTTCCTTTCTTATTATTATTAATTTCAATGAAAGTTTAGAGACTTTGGATTTCCATTCATTCATTGTTGAACTTTTCTTCCTGCTCACCCCTCCCTCCCAGTTCGCATTTCTCTCTGAAAAGTAAAAGAAAAATTCTTTCATTGTAACACAATACCTCTTCCAAGTCCACTCCACTGTGCAGCCTTCATTCTGGACTCCTGTCATGACAATAATACCTAATCACATATCCCTTTTAAACAATTTTCTCCCTCATCTGTTTCAATGCAGTAAACATAATTTATCCCATCTTTCTCAGTCTCCCCCAACCTCGATGTCAGTCCCATTTTACAATAGTAGCACGATGCAGTATTTGTCCTTTTGTGACTGTGATATTTCACTCAGCATATTGTCCTCCAGGGTTACCCATTTTATTTTTTAAATAATTTTAATGAAAGTTTACAGAGACTTAGGGTTTCCCATCGTTCATTGTTACACTTTTCTCCCTGCCCACCCCCTTCCCCCAATTCACACTTCTTCCTGAAAAGTAAAAGAAAAACTCCTTCATTGTTATGCAATCCCTCCCCACAAGTCCACTCATCTGTGCTGCCTTCTTTCTGGACTCCTGTCATGACAATGTTAAGATCATCTTTCTTTACCACCATTCGCTTAAAACGAACACCACCAATCCAAGCCAGAAATAACTCATTTCTCTCTGTGTGGGAACCCACTCATAGCTGACCTTCCAGCGAGTTTCTGGGAGGCTGTAAATCTCAAGGGAAGAGCTTGCTGGTCTTTCTCCTCTGGAGTTGAGGGTAGATTCGAACAGCCAGAGAGACGCCACCTTTGAGTTAACAGCTCAATTCCCTGCCCACTACGCCACCAGAGTTTCCTTGCACTAGGGAGAGATTTCTCCCATATGTCCTCAAAGAAGCTCTGGTGGTGCAGTGGCTAAGCGCTGTGCAGTTAACCAAACAGTCCATAGTCTCAACCCACCAGCTGTTCTTGGTGCAAAGATGCAGCTCGCTCAGTCCCATGGGGCCGCTAAGAGTCAGACGGCGGAAGGGAGATAATCTCCTCATGTACTTTCTAGTTGCTACTGTCAATTTGCTTTCCTGTAGATAATTCTTTAAAAGCATGCAACACTCGAGGCAAACATTCTTTACTCATTTAGTGAAACCCTGTGTTTAGATCAAAGATTACCTCTGCATAGTTTTGGCTCAAAGTTTAAAAAATTTCACCAGGGTGTGGTATGGTGGGTTTATTGTTCTGAATGGCTTTCCTAGACCATCGCCTATAATTTTTGCCAAGTGGCTGAGTGGGAACATGTAAATAATAATGTGTGTTAGTCTTAACCAGTGATGGAATTGTCCAGTTTCACCGCCCTGCCTGATTTAAATGGAGCAGGTTCAGTGGCAGATACGGGAAGTGTCACTACCAGCAAGGAAGAAGGAGCAGCAGAGAATGGAGCCTGTGCCTTCTGGAGCCAGAGATTCTTGCTACCTGAAAGAAGCCACAGCCACAGGGGGAGAACCAGAGACCAGTATAAGGTGGTGCTGATGTGGGGAACAGCTGCCCCACAGAGCCAGAGCCAGAGGCTTTCACCCAAGCTCGCTGGAGAAGTAGGGAGGGAGGGAACTCTGGTGGCCAAATGGTAAGAAGCTGTGCTGCAATCCCAAACGCACATGGTTTGAGTCCACCAGTTAATCTCCTCCCATGAGATTAACTGCCTCTGAAAACCTGCTGGAGGGTCAGCTATAGATCAATTTCAAATCAAAGACACACAGTAACAACAACAACAACAAGAGGGCTTTGACGCTCTGGTGACCTGGTGGCAATAATTGCACAACCGACCCAGATATACCTGGTTCAAAATTACCAGCTGTTCCAACGGAGAACTATGGGTAAATCTAGTCT